CCCAAAAACCCCCCCCCCCCCCCCCCCCTCGGGTGGCTGCCCGCGATCGGGCGCGGGCGTCGTCGGCGATCTCCCCTCCGCAGGCTGACCCCCTGGAAGGAGGGGTCGCTGTTGATTTGCCGGGCGGAGGGGGGGGCGACCGCGCCGCCGGCGGGCCACGGTCCTCGTCGAAGGGCATGGCCTCCCTTGCCCCCCCCGGGGGGGAGAGTCGGCAGGAGGGCCCCCCTTGCCCCCCACGCGAGCCGGTGGGCCCGAGTGCCCGGGCGATGCGCCGGCGAGCCGGGCCCACAAAAAGCCGGCCCCGCGTCGCGCGCATGTTCCCATGGCCCTCCCGCGCTCGGCCCCCGTCCCAGCTGCCAAGCCCGCGGGTCCCCCCGCGGGAACGCCCTGCTCCGATCGAAGGGCACCCGGCGCCACAAGAGGAAGGCCTGGCTGCCCGCCCGCGAGCAACACGGCACCCCCGCAAGGCCGGCAGCCCTCCGCATCGGGAAACCCGGGCCGCTTCCGGTCCAGGTGCCAACGGTGGTCATTCCGCCCTGGGGCGCGGCCGGCCTCGCTGGTGTGGCGTCTCCGGGCCCCCCGGCCCTGCCGCGTGCGGGCGCGACGCTTGTCTTCGATTCCGGGCGCCGCGAGAGCGGGAGAGATCGCAAGATGGCAAGGTTGACAGAGCGAAAGGGCACGAGGGATCCGGGCGCCCTGATCCGCGCCCAGATCGCACCTGGCAACCCTCCCCCCCCCAGAATTATGGACAGCCACCCGGTCCAGTGGCAAAGGCAGGCATGCAAAGAGCCTTGTCCTCGCCTGTGCCGCGTTTTTGCCAGAAAAGGCCCATGGGACAGCATGCGCGTCCCATCTGCGCATGGTACCCGCCCGCGTCGCGCGCAGGCCCCCTTTGGCCAGCGGACCCCCAGTAGCAACGTGGTGCTTGTGAATCCGCCCTCTCTACGACACGCCTCGCGGGCTGACCGTGCTCTGCACTGTCCTCGCGATTGAGGGCGACGCCGCCCCGCATGGGCCGGTGCAGCGCGCGGCCGGAGGCATTGACAAGCCGTCCGGCCAGCCCGCCCGGCGGCAAAAGTGCCCAGGACACCCGGCAAGCGAGACACCCTAGCCCGGGCGGGCTTGTCCCCGGTTGTCCTCACAAGGGAGCACTGACCGAGACTGCTCCGACGGCCAGGTGGCCCAGCCTCGAAGGCCATGCATCCGGAGGACCCTCCCCAGGGACTTCGCCAGCGGGTCATGCACGGGCCGGAGGGATGTTTCCTCAAGGCGTTCGGCCGTTCGCACGCAAGGCCGCCCCGGCATCGATCCTGCGCGTTGGACCCCCTCCCCCCCCTCCCCCCCCCCTCTGGACATGTGCTTTGGGGCATATGTTCGGAGCACAAGGAAAGAGTGACACTTTTTATTGGTCCCAAGAGACGGTGCACACATCGAACTCATACAGGCCGGATTTCCTGGAGAAGAGGAGGCTGAGCGCGTCACACTCTATGCATAGACGTATGGGCACGCGCCCCTCCCCCCTCCGCCAGCTCCCTCTCTGGAGTCCGCATGGTCGCTCATTTATGCAAGGTGTACATGTGCAGCGAGTAGAGGAATAGCATGTTCCCCAGGAAAGCATACTCGGTCCAGTACCTTCTCTGTGCCGGGCTCTCCCGCCCATCGGCAGGCAGCACCAGCATGTTCGCCACCCTGGGAGCAACACACAGGCCGAGAGTTTCCTGGACCATGCCCTCGAATGGGCGCGTCTGATCCACGGAAAAGAGCCTGTGGTCACTGTCCGTCCGAGTGGCGGCCTCTTGGTCGGCGCTGGTAGGCGGCGCTGCAAGGTTGATTCCATATTTCTGGGTCGCCACCTGGAAGGCATCAAATAGTTCGAGCAGCTCGGACTTCTGGCCATAGTGGATCCGGGGGTTCTTTTTGGCCCCGGTGGCCTGGGTATTTTGCTGGTAGAGAATTTGCAGGGCTTCAAGGGTGAGTCTCGGGTGTGTGAGTGGCTCAAATTGGAAGACGCGCGTCTGACCCAGACTCCACATCACCTTGGGGTAGGATTTCACCAAGGTCGAGAGGGGAAGCCCCCGAGGGGAGACACTGCCACGCGAATCACCCACACCGGGGTCGAGGCCGAGCCGTCGTCCGCTCCCGCGACGCCCCGGCGGTCGATCACAAAGTGCACGAGGATCTGGGCCCAGTGGCGGGGTGGTGGCCGGTGAGACGCCGAAGCTCGGGCATG